AGAGAACCTAAACTCTTTATATCTTTCCTTTTAACTCTTCTAAATTTATTCGGGTATTTAAACAAACAGAAACTACATCATGCACAGTGACTTTTCGCCTTTGTACAACAGAACTAAGTCCTCCATATCTCTGAAGAGGCTTGGTGCTTGGTTTTTTTTTTCCTTTCTTTCAGTAACATCAGGCAGACTTTTCGATGTTATCCAGTTTTGCACAGTCACTAGAGTGTCGCATCATGAATTATTAAATCAGTGCTTCGTGGTAATACATAATTTCTTATCAATTATTCATGCTAATGTGTGTGTAGTTTACTTAATTGTGTTATTGACGATCAAAAGTAATTTCCTGAAAGTCCTCAAGGACACAAAATTTAATCAGCGTAACTACTTTTCAGATGCAATGCTGTTAAGTATTCTTAATTTGCTCAACAGTTCACTTATTTATGTACCTTTCTGGAGGAAATACGAGTTTAATCAAACAATTAGATTGAAGAGTTAGTGTACATAAGGGCTTGAGCTTACATCGTTCAACAGAACATTTATAATTACAGGGAAACGGAAGCGACTTTGCCACTTTTTGGCAAATCGTTTCATCTCTGTACTCAACAAGCAAAATACAGCAGGAGGAAGGACTTGATTTTTTTTTTTTTTTTTTTTTTTAAGGAGACAGTGTATTTTATGAAATGCTTTGCGGTAATCAGAGACGAGGCACAATACACTTAAGAGTATTATTTGAGGGGGTTCTGGGGGGAGGGTAAAAAAAGGGGGCAGGGTGACCTGAAGGCAGAACCTTTGTTATAATAACTGAAAGGAAAATAATCATAAAAGCAATAACAGTTTTTGCATGGAAACACCATCAGCAAGCCATCAGAGACCGCAAACTATCACGCTATTGCACATTTCCCCTTTGATCGCTTCAAGTTCACTATCCACACGAGAGAGACAGACACATTTGACTGAAACTGAAACCTCTTATGAAATTTGGCCCTTTAGAATTAATTCTCTTCACACCACGAGGAAGCCCTCTTCCCCATGCTCCATTTCTGCATGTACGCCACTCTTGTCTCATTTCCTTTTTTTTTCTTCCACTTAAAAAAAAATAAAAACAAACAAACAAAGAAACACAACTAGAGAGCCCCCTCCATGTGCCAGGGACCTGTGGACAGGTAGTTCATCCAGACACGTGCTTATTTCAGAGGTGTTCCTGGGGGGTTTCTTCCTCCTCTAAGGGCTCTCAGCATCCGCTGGAGCAAAGCGCTGCTTTCCAGTTGGTCCACACTCACCAACCTAGAGATCTAGTCTGGAGAGGCAAGGGCTGCAGGTGGGCGCTGCCACGGTGGGGACCACACTCACTCCGGTCCTGCAGTGTCAAGATGGTGGCCCCAGGTCTTGGAGCTGAAGGCCTGTCTGACCGGCCGGGCCTCCCTGGCCAGAGGTACCCAATGGCAGAGCTAACATGTACCCCCGGGGCAGGCTGTGTCCTGCCAGCCGCTCCCTACTCCACGTCTTCTCACCTTCTAACCTAACCAAGCCCACAGCCAGCATCCTCCAGCATGAGAAAGGAGGGCGTTGCTGCTAGTCTTGGCGGAGTGAAGAGCGTTGGTTGGGATCCCACCAGTTTCCTGGTTCTTAATGTAAGGGGGGACAGTCCCATTTCATAGCATGAGACTTAGCTCTGGGCGTCTCTCAAAGATGACCCATACCATGGTTCTTTGGGTTGACAAGACCTTCAAAGGTGGCCCAGGAGAGGGACAGGAAGGTGATGGGGTGAATAACTCTCCTTTCCTCCAGACTCTTCTGGGCCAAGATGGAAACCCCAGGGGTCTCACCACGGAGCAGACTCTGGTACCCATGAGTACCATCGGGACCTGTCGCCAAAGAAGCCAGGACAAAACAGCCCCGCTGGCGGGACTCCAGAGGCACTCTCCAGAGACCGGGGAGCTGTGGGTCTCGCTTGCTTTCCTGAGTCCGAGAGGAGGCCCTGGGCAGCAGGCTTCTTCCTCGCTCTTTGGAGAGTTTTCCATGGGGGCTGAGGCTGGGAGAAGCAAGGGGGGGAGGGTACGGCAGGCTTGGGCACTCGGGACCCTCATACACTCTTCTCACCCTCGCTCTGTTCCTTGCTGGGAGGGGTCTTGTCCTGGCTGCCGTCGGGGGGCGCCGGCTTGGCCGCAGGGCTGGGGCTGCTGCTGGTGGACGGCAGGAGGTTGGCCGACTGCAGGACGGCCTCCGAGTGCTCACGAGCTTTCATGCGCAGGGCTGCCACGCTGGCCGTGCGGTTAGTCTGGCAGCCGTAGGGGGGGAGGAAGGAGAGCCCCATGGGGTCTGGCACACAGCAAGAGCACAGTGGGCCCCCTGGAAGAAGAAGAAACAATAGGCTACCATCACTGCCCACATTTCACTCTCTCAGACTTGGGTGTGGGCAAGGGGCTGATTGATCCTGTTTGGTTCCAAACACTAAAGGGAGAGGTGACAAGTGCTCAGGACCCCAAAGATGCACAACTCAAGAGATCCAGCTGATAGTCCAAGGGATTACCAGAGTATCAGGGAGAACCGACCAGTCTTGGTTCCCTTACCAACCAGCTGTGTGGCCTTAGACCAATATCTTGACTTCTCTGATCCCGGCTTTTCCTTCTGTAAAATGAAATGATGCCCACCTCACAGGATCATTATGAGGATCCAGTGAAGTAATGCCACACACCCCAAACTATGTGTCAAACCACCCCTAGGAACTCACAAGGGCCCTGCAGGGATATTTTAAATTTTCAAAGGCAAGGGGAAGCCAGCCACATCTGTCGGACACCGTGAAGCTGCTAGACGAGGCAGCTCACAGCTTCAATGTCATACATTTGTGAAGCTGGATTTTGCAAGTGCCACACAAAAATCCACACGGAACATAAAATGAGGGGTGGTGGCATCCAACGTGATTCCACGGTTAGAGAAGCCGTGCAGAGCCCATTGGTGTACATCTCATTAGAAAGTAATGGTAGCTATTTAAGAATAAAAGAAAAATATTACTTTTCTTTCAATTTATAAGTGATATTTTTCAAATGGCTACTAAGTTGTTGGGACATAAACACTCACTGAGTTACCTGGACCTGACCATTTAATGAACAGAACTGGTAGGTATTTTTTATGGCCCAGGAGAGTCACGAAACATTAATCTGAGGTTCAAGGGACCCTCAGGGCACCGTGAACTAAGGTTTGCGAAGCTCTGATGGCCTCAGTTTGGAAAGCACTCAGCACAGGTCCGATGTGTGAAATGGGACTTAGGAACAATTGCCTGGCCCCGAGCCTGCCGGCCAGCACTGCATAAACCACTCCAGGGACAGGGCCGGTGTTGAGGAGCCTCCCTTTTCACAGGTCACCCTCAACTGTGCACCTATTCAGTGACTGGCCCATGAACACCTGGCACTGGTCTCGACCCTAGTGACCACTCAGCAGGA